CCCCAAAACCCCAAAACCCCAAAACCCCTGCTGTCATTTATTACCTTAATTATTATGAATTAAATACATGGAAACAATTAAAAAGAATTAAAATATAAATTAGTATTTATTGAATCCAATATGCAATTCTCTTAAGATGAATTTGTAATAATCTTTTCATTTGCTATCTCCAACTCAATCTCCCATTCAAATGTCCTAACATTTTCCTATAGTTAATTATCCGAGTAAATGGAACATCACTGAAGAACTGAGAAGAGACTAAGATAGAAGTACAAGAGAACATGAACTTAACTGAATTACTCAAAACAGTATGCAAGAGATTCGGCTACAAGGATAACTACAAGAACGCTAAACTCTACAATAAGAATGGAATTCAACTGTTCCAAGATGATCTCATGCTTATTGGAGGAGGAGATGTCCTTTATCTAGCACTAAAGGGTATTTTACTCATGATATTTATCATACACCATTAGGCGAGGATTTTAGTTACAGCGCGATTCTAGATGATTATTAAATTGTGAGAGAATTAGGAGTTGGAGGTTTTGGCAAGGTCATGCTAGGTAAGCATAAGGAAGAGAAGAAAGAAGTGGCTATAAAATTTATGGATGTGTCTGAGAGTTGTAAATAAAAACTCATTATTTTTTGATTATATCTTTTAGTATCATCTGCAAGCACAATATAGGAGATATACAGAGAAGCAGAATCATTAAAAAAGCTCAACCATAAGAATATCATTGCATTATACCACGCATTTTTGGAAGGGAAGCAATTGTGCATGATCATGGAATATGCTGCAGGTGGTGAATTATACAAGTATGTCGAGGATAAGACTAGAATAGGTGAAATCGAGTCTCGCAGAATTATTTAGCAGATTATCAATGCTATGTCATATTGCCATAATAGAGGAATCGTTCATCGTGATTTAAAATTAGAAAATGTATTATTCAAGCAAGAAGGAGATCTTCTCGTGAAAGTTGTCGATTTTGGTATTGCTGGAGTATGCGCTGGTGCAAAAAAAGATAAAGTTGATGCTGGTTCTATCGCTTACATGCCTCCAGAGGTAAAAATTACAAATGATATGTCTAACATTAATATAGACATTTAAGAGCTAGGCTTAAACATCTCCTGCTATTGATGTATGGGCTATAGGAGTGATGCTGTATGCAATGCTATATGGACATTTACCCTTTTGGGGGGATAGTGAAGAAGAGTTCATTGATAAAATCATAAATGCACCTCTGAGGTTCGATGCAGATGTACCTGTTACTCCTGAATGCAGAGAGATGATTAGAGGTATGCTATAAAAAGATCCTGAAAAAAGACTGTAGCTCATCGATGTGATGAACCTCAACTACTACATCCTTGACGATGAGGATTTAGAAGAAAATATTCAAAAGGCCTATGCTCATGTTGAGGAACTAAAGGTTAAAGAAGAGGAGAAGGCAGAGAAGCAATGGGAATCAGATATTTTATCTGGTCTACATTTAAATCATAATTCCTCAAGCGGAACAGGTTCTAATAAATCAAACAGCAAGACTCCTGGGAGCAAAGTATCTGGTGCCGGGAGCGGAATAAAAGATTTCAATAAAACACCAATAAGCAATAAAAGCGCACAAGGAACGTCCTTTGGAAGCTCAATAAAGAATAAGAAGGCAAGTCAGCCAATGCCTTCTAAGGGGGCAAATGATATTAAAAGGAAGTGATAAATATCATCTATTAGTGCTCAATTTATTAATTAAGATAAATTATTCATATTTATTTAATTGAGTAATATTAAGTGTTTTCTGTGGTGAGGGTTAAGAAATAATATAACAAATTATAAAATATACATTTATTAACTTACAACATATAATGGATTCTCATCACAATGAAATTCAATTTTTGTCTCTCCTCAAACTGCCTTAAATTGACTAGCCATCTTAAAAGCAGAGCAGGTAATGATTGATATTTTCACAAAATTATAGATAAACCACAGATCGTAAACTATTGCTGTCTGAAAAATGCATTACAAATGATAACGATGGAGTATTCGACTCAAGTTTCAATAATAATACAATTATAACACTCTTTGTGGTGAAAATGGTCCCTTAAAGCAAGTGAAAATTGGCAATATATCTGGAAACAAATTTGGATGATGATAATCAATAACAAGTGAAAAAGCCTAAGATAGATTATTTTAAGATGCAGATCGATTGCTCTAAATGTCTCGAATTAGGGGATGATTCCTGCCTGAGGAAATTTAGGAAGAAGGTAATGGACAAATTTAAACTCTCAGACAATTTTAAGATTTATAACTCACAAGGGATCACCATTTCTGAAGGAGAACTCTATTTCTTGAACTAAGAAGGCACTGATCAAGCATTGGTTTATGTTTCTGCTTAAAGTAATTTACTCATCTTGTCTCTTAAAATACTATTCAGGTGAAATGTTTGACTACGAGAGCTATATAAAGATGTTCAAAAGTGTTAAAAAATTGGGAGAGGGCGGATACGGATTAGTTTTCCTTGGCAGACATTAAATAAGTGGGGATGAATATGCAATTAAGTTTATGATGCCTAACTCTCAAAAAGCAGATGAGGCTGACAAAGCATTCAGAGAGGCACAAGTGTTATAATAGCTCAAACATCCTAATATTATTAAGCTATCCAATGTTTTTCAACTTCAAGACACTAAAATTGTATTATTCATGGAGCATATATAGGGTGGGAACCTTAGAGATTATCTAGATAAACAAACAAAACACTATTTACCGGAGGAATAGATATCCTAGCTTATGATTCAAATCGGATCTGCAATTAATTACTGCCATTAATAAAATATCGTGCATAGAGATATTAAATTAGAAAATATCTTGATTAATGATGCCGAGGATTTATCAAAGGGGATCAAAATCATTGATTTTGGGATTTCGGGGAAAATTGAAAAATCAATAGAATAGCACAAAGCTGGCACAATTAGATACTGCCCTCCAGAATTAATATCAGAGACGAGTTTCAAAGCCGATCCTAGTTTTGATGTTTGGAGTTTGGGTATTTTATTATATAGAATGGCATATGGCGACTTTCCTTTTAATGGGGATGATTGGAAAACTATCAAGGGAAAAATAATGAAGGCTGAATTTGATTTTCCTGAGAACTTTGAAAATCCTGTCAGTGATACTTGTAAAGCTCTAATTAGGCTAATGCTAAACAAAAACCCAGATAAAAGACCGAAATTATACCAACTAATAAAGCATCCTTGGTTTTAAAACTTCTCATCCAGTTTGAGCACTTCTATTTTCTCACAAAATACAATGATGAATTTTTTCAAGTAAGAGCTAAAGACTATTCACTAATTAAGAACAATGCAGAAGGATAAAATTACAGATTCACCAAGACTTTCTTAAAAATCAAATCAAAGAATAAAGGATATTTTGAAATCTGAAAACTTCAATTAAAACTATGGAAAGAATTATAAGCCTTACAATCGAGTGAAATCACTAGCTAAGTATAAGAGTCCATATTCTATTGCATCAATAAATCATGAAAGAGAGCAAAGCCAGAACCTTTAAAAGCTTGAAAACTTTTAGATTAACAATTAGATAAGATAGTCAATTGAAATTGAAAGGAAAAATCTATCAAATTTAAGGCAATACAGAGCTAATGGGTTATAAAACTATATCCAGATAGAGATGACACCAAAACTTATTCAAGCAGGAACTAATGATGATACTCTTTTCGATAAAAATCTTAAAGCCCCTAATAGCACTAAAAATCGCATTCCAAAAGTAGGTGGGTTAAAAAATCACAGAAATCTTCAATTTAAGCTAGAATCTCAAAAGGAATTGATCAATTTACCTCATATATAATCAGTAGGCAGTATTGAAAGAAGAAGTGAGTCTACTTGCTTAAAGTCAAACTAGCGATCATTGAACTCCTAAAGCAAACTAAAAATATCTTAACTTAATGAAAGACAAAAAATATATGAATTAAATAAGGCCACATCTGCTTCTAGTTTTAGATCTCTCCAAGTAAATAATTAGCTAAATCCAGTAAATTCGTAGCTTGAGACTAGAACTAGAAGATAAACTGAATTCCAAAAAAATGTTTCCTAAATGATGACTTTTGAATTACCCCTAATTAAGGATCAACTTAATGAAGATGATTAAGAAGACTTAAAGCCAGCTAAAAGGCTAAGCAACAATGGAAGTTAAACAGCCTCCAAAAAACTAACTAAAAGATAATATTCTATAAACACAGGAATGGGATCAACAACCACAACTCTAGGAGATGATAGAACTGCTACCTGTGATAAGCAAAGCTAAAAGAACTTTAAATTTAATTAGCAGACCTTGTCATAGATCAGCAATCATAATTTTGTGAACAAACTATAAAGTAAGCTTAACTAAGTAAAAAATGACAAACTTATTGAGGAATTGAACACATAAATATGAATAAATGTCTTTTTCGTTATAGAACTTATAGTTATGATATTATTGATAAGCTTTCTAAATCTTTATATCTATCTTTTTATTCAAAAACTTATCTATGGGGTTTTGGGGTTTTGGGGTTTTGGGG